CATTTAGGACATAAAACAACCATGTTATCACCTTGTTTCTCATTGCTAAACCCAATAACTTCTTCTCATGTGCTTTTTCTTCAGCTTTATTCTTTAATTTAGGTTTAAATTTCTCATCAAAACAGAAGAAATCAAATGGTGCGAATTTGAAAATGTTTTATCATAAAATTGTTTATCGGTTAACAATTGCTTGAAATGCTTGAGTGTTAGGAAGACTTGGATCGCCAGCGATTGCCCAATAAGATGAATCAGTATCACCTTTCAATGAAATGAAAACGATTAACATCCATGCATTTATACATAAAATCATAAATGAAAACCAAATACCAGTATTTAGCATTATCTTAAAGTGAAGAATGCCTCTTGTAAAACATGTATCACATCTATAAAATCTATCTTTAAGCATCACTTGATATGTATCCTCACCTATTTCTTTATGTTTTTAAACTTATTGACATACATGCAACGCGTGACTTCTGTGCATTCATTTTTTAGTCTTTGCGTAATTTTGTGTATTCATGCATCGTAACCATATGATCCATTAAGTGAAATCTTGCAAAATAAACTTTTTCCTTTATTTCCTTCTAATTCAGCCTTTTGTCTTTCGTTCATAAATTTGTTCGCAAATTATTAAAACAAGTATTTTTCGTAAATGTTAAAATTGATTGAATATCATCAATGATAAAATGAAATCTGTCTATTAGATACCAAAGATAATAAGAAGAAATGGTTGATATTGGTTGTGTGTTGATGCTAACTGAGTTAATTTCCTCTGTTTCTGGTCAACTGGTAGATTGTTTGATTTCATGTAATTATACATAAAACTGCCAATTGTTTTTTCATCTGTGATAATATCTAAGTTTCTTATTATCGGTAAAAAGTTTATGTAATCATTAATGTATTTTTCATCAATGTGACCCTTTACTTCAGCCACGAATAAAGTATTTTTCTTCTTAATTATTCCCAGTGCTTTTGCTTTCTTTGTTGCTGTATAACAAATGATAACACCATTCATCTTCCCGGCATATACATTTTATGGTCAGTATATTGAATGAAATCATGAGGATTAGATGAAAATGATGAAGGATATAATGAATTAAAGTCACACCAACGAAATGAGTCATGATGTTGGAAGTGTCCTCATTTGATACAGTTTTAGTTTCTGGATTATATGAAAGTTTATTAATGTGCGTGATTCCTTTAAGATTACACGATGTTGAACATTTGATAGACCACCAGTAATTCCATTACGGAGAATGTGATAAGCTTCAACTGAATCTAAAGTCATTGGTAAAATTATTTTTTAATGCGTAATTTCTTAAATTGATTCTTAAACGTTGAACATCTTCATCTTTATTTGATTTTACGACATTGCAATAACAAACATTAACTGGCAATTTTCTTTGGTATGTGGTTTTTCATTATCGATTTATCTAATGTTGGTTTATTAGCATATGTAAACGCTTTACCACACATTTTGCATTTAGATGAAAGGATTAATCGTGATAGTATTGAAATCATCCATTGAAACATTATTTTTAGTATCCCTTTCTGCTTTTTCATCTTGTTTCTTATATGATTCAATTTTATATTTCCAATACCTTTTCGTTAATTCAAAACTTGATTCTATCTCTTCCTCAGGTATTTTTTCATTAGGATTAAAGTCTTTATATGCTAAAGCGTAACGAATCATTGAAGCATTCGATGATAAAGAAAGATTATGAAGCATGTCAATTTTATAAACAAATGTTTCTTCAATTTTATCGATTGGGTCAATCATAATTTCAACATCTTTATTGCAATAATGAATAAAATATTCTAATCTATTCTTAAATTTTAGCATCATTGAGATATATTTGATAATCACTATCTGATATAGTTTCTTGGGTTAATGCTGAATAAAATGAATCTTGAGTGAATGGTTCCTCTTTATATAATTCTTCTTCGTAATTCTCCGTGTGATGAATTGATAAGGGAAAAGGATTTAACACGTGATTTATTGTTTCCGAAATCTTGAGTGAATTGGTTAATGTCCCACCCGCTATATAATTTCTGATGTCAATAATCTCAATTCATATGGAACGTTTGTTTTCTTTACATGATTTGCTTAAATTGTGAAGATGAACCCAGCATTGATTTTATTTTCCATTTTGCAGTGTTTAAATCATGAAGAATTAAATTTAAATCAAACTTTCCGAATTAAAACCTATGATATTCACTTTATTGAATTTCCTTCTAGAAGTTCTTTAAATGCTTCCTTCTGTTTTCATTTAATGTTTGCGACTTCATTAATTCTTCATATTGTTCAATATTTGATTTAGCAACTAATGAACAGGTTGAAATAAAACTCATCCAATCAGAAATAAAGAATCACTCGAAGTTAAGCAAAAATTCCTCGTATATGTTTTATCATTTAATTTAACGTTGATGATACCATGAATGGTTTAAGTAAGCGTTCAAAGTTGCACACTCAGAAAGTTGTAATTCTTCTTTAGTCTCTAATGCTTCGAAGTCAAAAGTAATATAATATCTTGTCGGTTGATAATATTCTGCAAATTATGAGCTAATAACCCTGATATATCTTCTGTTTCGTAATATGTGGTGCATATGGTTGCTGGGTCTTTTGCAATTGAACGTCTTGAATTAATCCCATTATTTTCTTTACATTTCTCACAATGCTTTAAAAATCTTCTTTGGTTTTTCCTTTCGGATCATCACGGATAGAATAACTTCTTCTTTACAATATGGACAAACTCTATAGCCGTGAGTGCTTCAACGTCTGTTATTCTGTCAGCGTGAAGTTTTCCACATGGACTCTGTGTTAATAAAATATTTACTGTTTCAAATTCTGGATCTATCATTATTGAATCCACTAATGGAAAGTTACCTTATTTTATGTCCACGTCTTCTGGTTGAGGATCACAATAATAGAAATCAATATTAACATTTCATTTCGCTAATCTCTACTTTCTGATGAAATGTCAAACCCTTCATATGAATCTATTGCTTTTTAAATAGCTTTACGAGTTTTAGGATTAACACCATCAGGAATGTTATAGAAGCGTTTAAATAACCTTCTACCTTCTGCTCTAATTTGATTATCATTCATTTTAGCGGTTCCGTTTTTGTTCATTTATGTAAGAATAAAATTAAAAAATAAAGTTTATTTTTTAAGTCCATAAAATGAATTAAGAACACATAAATTTTTATCATCTGCGACGTGAGAATACATTTTAATTTACTCAAGAATGCGTACCCTGATACATTAAATCTAATTCCTGTCTTATTTAATTTCACAACTTTGAAAAGGAATGTATGAATAGCTATAAAATGATGAGAAGATTTTATGGGTTGCTTCCATTTTTTTCTGAAATAAATGAATAAATATAATGCTTATACGTTTTCATATGCTTTTTGTTCTTAATAACGAATGGTATAGACCTTTCCACTTCGTCTTCCTTCGGTGCTGTTCTTTCATATGAAACATTATTGGTATCTTCAATAATGAAACCACAATCACACAAAATTTTATAGGTTCCAATGGTTTCTTTTGATATTTTATCTAATAAATCAAAAACTTTATCAACACCTGTGCATTTATTTAAATAATAATTTGTGTAAATATCATGATCTTCTTTCTTAATCGTATTAGTTGCATATGTCACGTTTTTAAGAGCTTTTTTGAATTTCTCAGAATCGAGAGGGGGTGAAAGTAGGATACAGGGGTATTTTTCATTATCAATAAATTGTAACTTATGTTTACGAATAAATTTAGTACCTTCTTCTGAAAGTGTTTCGTCTATTTCACCATCTAATAAATTTTGTGTTGATTCTGAGACATAATTTTTATATCTTTCTTCATGAGATTTCTGAACTTCTGATTCCGAAGCTGGGATATTCATTAAACCCTCTACTTCATTTTCATTATATTTTTCAACTTCTCTTAATTCCTTAATTTTTTCATCTATTTCATCTCTTATTTTTTCCAGTCTTTCAATTTCATCGTATTCATCATCATCTTTAATCCGTTCTTCATAATATTCAGGGAAAACATCAGGTTCTTTAGGTTTTTCTTCTTTAGATGTGGGATATAAGAAATTTATAACATCATCTTTATTCATTTTTCCATCATAATCAAACTCATTTAAAAACTCCGCGAATTTTTGACAATTTCTTAAATAATATTTATCAACCTCATAACCCGCCTCATCTAATATATCCTTTATTTCCTCATTTGTGAATCCCAATTTTTTAACGTCGTTAGTTTTGACGCTCATTTCATACGAATTAAAAATAAATTATTCAAAAATGTAAGACATGAATTTTTAAAGTTTATTTTTTATTCATGAAAATAATTATTTCTAATTTCTTTTACTCTCTCGTACATACTAGATTTAAAGAATTCAGAACTTTTACCATAATCTCCTAAATGTTTTCTTATCTTATTGGTTTTCCATTCATTATATGAAACTGTATAAACTTTATCTTTATCTTTGCATCTTTCATCACTTCCAATATATTTATATTCCAATTTTGATTTATTGGTTTCATATTCATTAACGTTTAATAATTCACAATCTTCCTTTTTAAATAAATGTTTTATGTATTCAGGATTAACAATTCTATAATATTGCTTCCCTTTAAATCTTTGAATATAAACAGGAACACCATCCTCTAAAATTCGATAATCTATTTTATCTGGTTTTACTTGTTGGGTCATTTATGTAAGAATAAAAAAATAAATTATTTTAAAATTAATATGTTAAAAAAATGATACAAAATCGCTCGATATTGTATGAATTCTTACGTTTACAAAAAAAGTCACACAACCCATCCTATCCTACTACTTTAATTCTTTATTTTATTAAAACTGAATCTCTCGTCTTTAGGCTTTCTTTGAAGTATGCTAACAACTGGAAATGGTTTTCATATCCAAAAGAACAAAGATATAATATACGTTATTTCGCTGTCAATTTTTTTTGAAAGGGATTTGTTAAAAAATGATATCAATAAAGCAAGCTTTAAATTCTGGAAATGGTTTGGAAGCTAACCAGACACCAGAGGAGGGAACGAATCAAGAACAAAATCCCCAAAGTCCAAAAAATAATTCCGAAAATCAATCGCAAAATGGAGAAATAGCAAGTCCGAACTCTGCCAAATCTAATAAATCTAACAATAATTCTGTTAACGTAAGCGGAAATGCATCTCAAAGAAGTAATAAAACAGAAAAAAATTCAAATCAAGGCGAAACCGAACAAAATAACGATGAAGTTAAAAGTCAAAATTCTGAGCAACCCGAAAATAACGAAAATCAAGATCAAAACGATCAAGAAAATAATAACGGAGATACAGCAATTTCAGACGAAACATTAGACAAAGTGCATGGGATGGTAGATCAAAATTTCATTACAGAGCAAACGAATACGAATGAAAATCCTGAAGAAGAAAATAATGAAAATCAAGTACTAATTAAATTCCAAAGCTATGAAGGCATATATTTTAATATTAGACTCGAGAGGCCAAAACTCATCAATAAATATGACAACTCATAATGAATATTATGTGTATTTTCAAATTAATCTTAATTCCTGTGATAGGTTATCTTACAATTCCAACAAGATCATGAGCAACTGCATATTCATATCTGGCATATAAATTAGTCTCACAGAATTTCTATATTGTTGCGTTTTTTGGCGAAGAGTGTTTAATAATTTCGTTTTCAATGTTCACATATACATTCTCAATGTATATAAAGGCTATGAATAAATAATTTATATTGATTTTTTAAACACATAACACAAATAAAAATATTTTAAAATAAAAACAAAAATTAGTCCTGAAGAGCTTCATATTCCTCAATTTTGGCTTTCATACCATTCATAACTTCACAGAGTTCTTTGGATCCTTCGCCAATTAGAATTGTATCGTCATCATACAAAGAACCGTTCAATTTTGCTACAATAGCATCACGAATCTTACGAAGTTCTTCATTCTGAGCTGCAAGTTGAGAATCAGATAACGTTTCTGGCTCTGGTAAATCAGAAATATCATATTCTTGGCTTAAAGTCATTCTTTTAAGGTGAATTGTAGCTTCTGTGAATTCAGGATTGAGTGAACGAAGTCTGTGCTTTGGTAGTTCAACATTTGCAAAATTAGAAGAATTAATCGTGCTGCTCTGAAGACTTTCGAGGGATTTGGACTCATGTTCATCAGAATTCTGTAAGCCACGTTCAATTGCTTCATCTGGTTCTGAAATCGCTTGAGATTCTCCTTCATCTTCTTCAGAATCAACAGTAACAGTTACTGTTTCCACGCCAACAGTTGTTTGATCATCTTGAGCATCATTGACTAAGTCTTCAATCTTGTTAATCTCTTCAAGACTGAATAAACAATCATCAACGTTAAGAATTCTGAGTTTTCTGTTGATTTGCGATGTAAATGGCTTCCTTTGTATAAACTCGCAAATAGCTGGATATGATTTGCTTGTCAAACCGCATTTGACAAAAGAAATTTCGCGATATTTGTAAGGAGAAATGTATTGAAGAAGATAACTGAAGTTTTCATCAGTGGTGAATATGTTCTTGAATGAAATGCATTCTAGAGTTTTGCATTGAGCAATTGAGGTAAATAAAGTTTTCATTTGAAGTTCGCTGATATCCAATGAAATTAATTGCAGGGATCTAAGTGACTTGGTTTTGGGAAGGATTTGGATTAAAATTTTCATCAGATAATTTAAATAATTTTTCTTTTGATAAGCAATTGATTCTGTAATTGCTTTCAACTTTTTACTTGTTATATTACTTGTATTCTTGTACTTTTCGAATGTTTCGCATGAGAAAACTATGTTTGAAACTTTTTTATATAAAATATTTGGTAAAGAGTTGAAAAACTTATCATAAAGCTTAGCAGGTAACAGAGAAAAGTCATACAAACATAATGACTCATCTCCATTTCCTATAAAATACATCATTTCTGTGGGGAACATATCATTTTCAATCATTCTAACGCTTTTTCGTTTTCTTTATAAAAACCTCCATAGTAATCCATCGGGAAGATTGAGCAATTGGTGCAATATGGTCTATAGGCTATACAAAGACTGCTTCTAATGTAAACGTTCTTATGAATGTCATCAAATATTCTTTCGATTCCTAATATCTCAAATTATAGGCATCGTATTCAGTGTTCTAACTTTTGAACTATGTCTTATCACAAAGCATATATTTTGTCGATTAATTTAACTATTTTCAATTTAAAATTTATTATTTTTTTTATCTTATGATATGGAACTAATGAATCAAGCGCAATGAATATATGTGATCGATAGCGTACCAAAATGAATCGAAATACTTAATGAAATGATATCGCTGAATTTACGTACTGTCAAATATAAAAGAATCAAGGAGAAATATAGATTACATTTATGTACAATAAACGTTAGAGTGTTTGAAATAGATTCTCGAAGAAATTTTGGATCTTCCATATTCGAATTTCCGAAATATCGTAAAGTTTACATCGGATTGTTTTTCATTACAATACAATAATGTACCTAGAATACAGTTCTATTCAAATACTGACGTGAAGTATTGAATTGACTTCAGTTCAAATTTAAATGGAAAGCGACGTTTGTCAAACCGCGAATTCCTTTGAAACCTTTGCAGATCTAAATTGACTACCATTTTAATGAGTGAGAGAAAAACATTGCCCAAACATACTCCGAAGTGCAAATGGACAGAAGAAGAGGATTTACTTCTTATTAAGGCAGTAAACCAGTTGAAGGTTTTAAAATGGAATAAAATAGCAGAAATAGTTGGCACTAGATCAGGGAAACAATGTCGTGAAAGATGGCTTACAAAAATTGATCCTGATATTAACTCAAAACCATGGACTCCAGCTGAAGACGAAAAACTTATTGTCCTTCATGAAGATTATGGAAATAATTGGACAGCAATAGCTAAACACTTTAAAGGAAAGACTTTTCTAAGTGTTAAAAACAGATGGAGATCTTTTAACAATAAGACTTGTTTGAAAGGTCTAGAACCAACATATGCCAAAGAAAAAACAAGAAATGATCTTACTTTAGATATATTCAACTTTTATGACGCAGTAGATGAAGCAGATTTGTTCTAAGATATTCTTTACCCCAAAAAATCATATATTTCTTGTTATTCACTAATAAACTTTTTTCACATATAGTTTGAACCTTTTGCTTGTTACAATATATTGTGCAAATATGTGTAATTTTCATTTCTTAAATAACGGAATTGAGATCATACTCAAATTTGTAAAATCTTCTCAAAAATTGAATTAATTTCGAAAATGTTTGACAATATTACATAACGTTCACCAACCAACAAATTTACAATCATTTTACAAACTAATAATAGTATCTATCATTTCTAGCGATAAAATGATTTTGAAAAAAGTTCTCAAACTAACCTAATAAGCAGATCAAGGTCAATTTTCAAGCAACCACTGACAATGAAAACTGATTGTAATATCAACTCTACTGGGGATTAATAATGTTTTTAATTTTTGATATTTTTTTTCGAATAATCACTATTTTTGAATCGCATTGCCGTATTGGTTAATTTGAGATAATGTAAAGCATATATCAGTACACACTGTTCTTAAACTAATATAATAATCTTAAAAATATAATTTTCAATCCTTCTTATTTCGATATAATACAAATAATCAAAAATAAAATCTCAATTTGTGATAGACATAGTTCATCTCTAATTTTGATAACTCAATCGAATTTTGAGTTTTTGAAAGTGGTATGAGACTTATTTTACTAATCCTAGTGTCATAATTGTAGCCAATGATTGCAGATATTGAATTTATTTAGCTCCAATATGATCTTTCTTGCTTGGAAATTATTAAATCATTTCCAAATCGATTTGATATTTCATTTATTTTAAATATCCTGATCAAAAGCATTTTCCCAATACTTATCATCTTTATTTCTATTTTTCTATAAAAAAAAATTATTCTAAATTAAACGAAAGAAAATTATGAATGATTCTATTATTTTTTTAATGAATTTTCGATATATTATATAATAATTGAAGATAATAAATTTCGAAAAAATTAAAATTTTGACGGAAATTCTGGAAAATGTACCAAAAGATCATTTCCATAAATAATTCATCTCATTGACTTTAAAATTCGTTGCGCGATTTGCGTGATATTTCTAAATTTCTGGTTGATCTGGAAATAAAACTTAACTAAGAAGTTGATACCTCTCAGAAACGCCTAGGCATTAAAAATGCCACACAACAATATCATATATCATATTTCATTAAGCAATGTTTTCAATTCCAACCGTAAAATGATGATTGAAATTTTTTTGTTATATTTGTAAATTAAATTCGGCATTCTCATTATTTTGTAAGTGGATATAACCTCTAATTTTGAAAACTCTTTACAATTTTTGAGAAAGTAAATTTTTCTTATAAATTCACAATATGAAAATTACGAAAATATATTCTCTAGACTTCATAGGTTATCTTTCATAGATTTAATTCTCTCAATCTAAAAGTGCCAACAGATCACAACTGCCCAAATAAATTCAATTTTTTTGTATTCAATTTTCGAATTACTTTTTTTCAATGCAATTCCACAAACTCAGAAGCAACCATACTCCCAAGAGCAAGTGGACTCAGGAAGAGGATTACTTGTTAGTTCAAGCTGTAAAGAAGATAGGCGAACTTAAATGGAATCAAATTTCAAAATTTGTAGGAACCAGATCAGGAAAACAATGCAGAGAAAGATAGTTTACTAATTTAAATCCAGATATCAACAACGAACCATGGACGCCTGAAGAAGATGAAAAATTGCTTCGCCTCCATAATAATTATGGAAACAAATGGTCAGAACTCGCCAAAAATTTCAATGGCAGAACAGTGTTAAATGTTAAGAATAGATGGCGTACTTTTATCAGAAGAGGAATAATTCCTAAATTGCCCGAACCAAAAACAGAAGAAATCAGTGCCAAAGAATTTGAAGACTTTACTTCTCACCTCGAAGCCTTTAACGAGTTTGAACAAGTTGGTTTACAATTGAGCGATTTCGCATCATATCTGTTTGAATAAAGTATTTCGATAAACGGTATTGTGATATTTAATTAGATTATTTACACGGGTCAATTACAGTATTTAATTTCTTGTTTTTGTTGCTTTTATAGTATCGAGAATTATAATTTTTTAATGAAACGTGCTATTTTGAAAAAATAGTTAGCTTTAACATGTGTTATCTTTTTCAAATCGATCATAGTTAAAGGATAAATAATTTTGAATGTATTTTTATTTTCTATTCAAATATTATAGATATTCAATTCAATATTTACGATATTTATCACAACAATTTTTTATAGTTGGATTCATTATATATTAGGACTTAACTGCTTTTTCATTGGACAATTTTTGCCATGTCATTTTCGATTCAATTCCTTTTCTTTACAAAACTCAATCCGAACATTCATTTCACAAATATCTAACTAATAATTTTAACTCGATGTCAAAATAATTGTAAAATGTAACGTAAATTTCACAAATTTTCTTATAATCGATAAGGGCAATTTTCATTAAATTTTGGTGGTTTATAAGTTCATTAGTTTCTTTTATACCTTCATTATATATTTATTTCATTAATACTTCATTGTTTTCTGATCAATGATTTCCATATAATTCACACTATAATTTCTACAAGTGGTGTAGTTATTATTTTCATTCTCAAAATAACAAAAGGACTAAAAATTGAATCGGATATCAATAAAAAAATGACTTATTCGAATGATTTCACTTCAACAGATATCAACAATCCATAAAAAATTAGATTTTTTCAAAATTTTTAAAAAATATGTTTATTGGATCCCGAATTTATAATCGAAGACCTCTACGGACATTGTTTCTTATTGGAGCAAGTACTTGTATATTCCTTCGTTCCGGAATCAATGTTCTCAATGATGGCATAATGTTGACTGTTTCATCCGAAATTTGAATGATAGAAAATTTTCGGATCGGCTTCCTTTTGTAGCAATTCTGTATCTTTTCAGACAGAGCTTCTATTTCCCTTGACTTTTTGGATGTTCTTTCTTCACTTTCTTCGAGTTCCTTTCTGATCTTCTCATACTCGAGCGTTTTGGCTCGTAGTGCGGCTTCGCTTTTAGATATCTTCGACATTAATGCATCATAGGCTCCGTTATGGTATTCTTGAGTTTTAATTTTTTCCTCGGTATTTTTTTTGACCTGATATTGAGTAACTGCACTCTCTTGGCCTTTATTTAGCTTAGAAAGAACTGTTTCTGTATCATTTAATAAGTTTGAAACAGAATTTGTAAGATTATTAAATTTTTCAGTAATTTCGAGTTTTCTTTGATCAGCAACCTCACACAACGCATCTCTTACCATAGTATTGAATTCTTTTTCTAGGTTTTGCATCGAAATAGGCCTTGTTTCAAGAAATTCAGGGTTGCTTAATAATTCACGAGTTTCTTTGATCTTTTGTTCATACATTGCTATTTCCCTAAGTAAGTACTGCCTTCTCTCTGTTATCCATGTAGTTAAATCACTAAGGACCTCAAGATAATCACTGTCGTCCATTTATATGCCGCACTTTTTGTTTGATGTGATTTTTTAATTATATGATATTCATATTCTATACCTCGCATAAATCCTATTTCATAAGACATAATTACCATATTCAAAATTAATTTTCGAGATTTTTCAACAACTATACTTTAATCTATGGATATGATATTTAAATATAGAATACTAAATTAATTTTGGTTTTATTTCTTTGTATTAAAGCTTTTTCAAAATTTGATTTCATAAATCCGACTTTTCAAGCGCACACAATTGAAAAATACATTTAATTTAAGTAATAAAAAACAATCAAATGATAAAATTGTCAAAAATTTACTCGATTTTTACAAAATCATATTAGTAGGGTTTCCTGCATGGGTTTGGTTTCGGTTTTTGTTTCTTCTCCATGACAGTAGTGGTGTTGGCTGAGTATTACCCTTGGCAGGAGTATTTTGGTTCACATTGATATTTTGAGCCATTACTCTTGTATTTCCTGGGACAATTTGCGGTATCACTGGACTAACTTGAGGAGAAGGTAGGAAAAGGATGGTTTCTGAGACGTCATCAAGGATTTGGGACAATCTTTCGATTGATGAGTCCGTTATCTCGATTCTTGCTTGGATTCGTTTTAATTTACCTTTCATCTGCTTGTAGTGTTCGTTCAGTGTAACTTCGAGCTTATCGCAAACGTTCTTTTCGACTTCCGAAACTAATTTTTGTAATTTGTTTTTTGTAGCCCAGCCAGAGTCTTCATTCTTTTCGCCATCATCAACTTCTTCAACTCTTGGTGAGCAATTCAGTATGCAACGCGGTTCTTTGTTGATATTGAAGCCAATGGAGTTTGACTGAGAAAATCTTCCAAAAGCATTTGGCGTTGAAGAGCAGGAAGACATCTGATAGCTACCTGGTACCTGGGAGCTATACATGGCCCTGGCCAATGAAGGAGCAGCCCTTCCACCGAAAGCTCCATCCCTGTTCATCCTTTCGAAATTTCCCATTCACAACATCACTCTCTCAAAATTTACATCATGAAATACAGCCATGAATAGCTTTGTAATAGTTATATTTGATAAAAATAAAGCTAAATGATTGATAAAATCTTGCTTTTATGAAGTTATTTTTGATTGAATTTTGAATTTATCTTTATATAATCTTGATACAGTGAAATTACAGCCTTTGACTGAAATAATTTATATGGTTTTAACACAATAGCATATTGATATTGTTAATAAATTTGAAATTAATATTGATACTATTTTAAGGTAGTTTCATATTTAGTAACTTCTTTCTTAGATGTATTTCAATATCACATGCTAACCAGAAGATCAGATCTTTTAATGAATGATTGGAAGGATCTCATCGATGAAATACAAGAAGAAGCAAATATTCAGAAAAATACTGATAAATTAACACAACTAATGAAAGAATTAATATCACGCTTTTCCGGACTAGGAAATTCCCCAATTGAACAAAGTAATTTCGAAAAATTGTTAAATTTCTTCCGATTAATGAACCAATACAGTGAAAAAGATTACTATATGCAAGTCAATACTTTCGAAATTCTTATCCATTCGATGAATACTTTCTCAATTACAACAGATCCAAAATTATGGGTAGATTTATTTCAATATTACGTAAACGTGATACAAGATTCCGATAAAAAACTTTTACAAGTATTGAATTCGAGTACTAATACCTTCTATTTATTTTGGTATTCCATACTTCGCATCTCAAATTTGGATCAGAAGCTTAAGTTGTCATTGGAAAAGGTCACAACGTCATTATGTCAAACAAACATTACAAATAACTACCTCAAAATATGGTCAAAGAGCTCTTATTTGCATCCGATTTTTATTCAAACAGAAGATCTAAAATTACAGTCAATTATCATTGATTCTTTGATATTCTCAATATTTAGAATAGAAACAACCATGGTTGACGATCCAATTGAGCCAATAACTTATTCTTCTTATAACACGAGATTTATAAACAGCGAAGCCGAGAAATACACATACGATTTACTGAATTCCATATCCAATGAGATTACATCTATCAAATTCTTAATTAACATCATTTTCTTTCAAATTAACAAATTTAAGAACGAATTTTTAGTTTCAAAGGGAAGTATCAACATAAACGTTGTTACATTGATGAGTATCATTGATATCATTGTAAAATACTACACAGAAAAGAAGATTTCAATATATCCTTTGATTATTGAAAAATTAAATGAAATTCCTGAGTTCAAGAACTCATGTTTCGTTCAATTATTTACTATCTCTATTTATTATCACTCAAATGCCATTTGTTACCTCAATATGAAGAACTTTGAACCGAAATTTCTTCAAATTTTCGCAGAATTACTTTCAATTGTGTATTGCAAGTACTTCATGAAACTGAATAAGGATAATCTGTGTGATGTAGCTAAGAGCTGCAAGGCTACTATCAAAAGAACAGGTTTGGCAGGGTTTAAAGCAGAATTTCGATCAAATTTGGATTTAATTTACGATAGACCTGTTGAATTTTACAGAAGGATATTCGATCCAACACTTATATGCACATGCCCAGAGCTTAGAATGGTTACAGAAGATTACCAAGAGATTTTCAAAATATTTGAATATATTGTTACGAATTTTCCAGGAAAAAAGGAAGAATTAGTGTACAGAATAGTCAATATCAATGTTCTCTTGCATACTCATATAGTAGAAGTGGTAAATATCACTGATAACGCTCAAATTATTCAGAAATATTTCCCTTCTGAATTTACAGCGGTGAACTTCATCCCAGTTTACAAAACCGCCATTTCTATCGTCGGTTTGAATGCCCCTATTGAAGAAAAATCTCAAAAAATTTTTATTGACATGACACTTTTTGCATTTCGGAGCGACAATCCAGAGATCGTTTGTATTGGCATAGAAGGATCTATTCTTGCGTTTTCGCGTATGATTAATAAGTCATTTTGCTTGATTGAACCAATTATCTCTGCTTGTGAACAATTTGAGCCTGATCCGAGGAAGACATTGCAAGTATTGATGTCTTGTTATGGTATAGCTACGAGAAATAATATGGAAAACCAAGAAACAATCAAAGAAAAGATAATTCAAATTATTGAAAAGATTTTTGCCAAAATTCCTAAGGATAATATAGCTGTTGGATCTCTAATAACCCTTGTAACTCTGAATTCGCGTAAATCTGATGGTTGTTTCAGTGAAGATTTGAAAAATTTAATCCGAACTTTCTTTTCTGGAGATATTAAGTTCTCTATGAATTCATTGAGACTATTCTCATTCTTTTCTGAGTATTTTAATGTCATTAGATCTAAATTCCCTGAGTTTCCAGATATTTTTGGAAATATTCTCAAAGAAATCCTGATAAAAAGGGATGATTTGTCCAAGAATATCTTCAATACACTTGTTGACGTACTTATTGACATCACTGTCCAAACAGAAGACTCTAAATTTTTAGATGAAGTTTGTAATTTCCATAAAGACAACAAAACAGTGATTCAAAAGAGGTCTGAACTCAATTTCTACAAGAATTCAGACCTAATTGAATCCAATTACAACTACAAATCCGATCTAGTTGTAATTACAAACAATGAAACGCTTCACAAGCTGAAGAATGAAGGAAACGAACTCACCATACTTACTAAGACCTATTTCAGTAAGTCTTCCCATAAAGTAATCATGCCAAAAGCCGAAAAATCAAAAATACCAAAATACGATAAAGAAAAAACCGAAGTTCCTCCAGCAGAAACGATCAATTCTGAGTTCTCCCAATCCATTGGAACTCTTGTTGACGACATAATTTCGAAGAATCAGCTGAAAGAATACAAATTTGAGGATTTCAGCAATTCTTTCACCCAGCAAACGTCTAATCCTTCATCACCAAGGATGAGGCTTGAGCACAGACCCTCCATGGAGCTGTTTCATACTAATGATCCAACGACATCCCTCTTTATGGCCCTTTTCGGAGACAATTACATCACTACTAAGCCATCAAACCTGATAGACATTGCTGTTGACCGTGTTTTCAGTATCTCGCCCCGTGAAAACATCAAAGTTGGCTTAATTTTTGTAAATGGCCTCCAAAAACAGAACGAAATCTTCTCAACCGAGTGGAAAGATACATCATCTGCGTTCAAAAGCTTTGTTCTTTCACTCGGCGAGGTTGTAGATCTCAAAGATTTCTCCGGATTCCAAGGAAAACTTGATACAGCCAATTTTTCAAATGGTCGATATCATATCTACTACGGGACACCTCGATTTGAGCTGTTTTATCACACTGCTCCTTTAATGCCTATTGATCCAACCGATAAACAGCAAATTTACAAGAAGAGACACATTGGAAACGACAATTTGCACGTTGTATGGGCAGAAAACACATTTGATTACGATACATCGACAATTACGAGCCAGTTCAACGACGCTCACATTATTGTCTTTCCTTTGGAGAACTCCAATTTCTTCAGAGTTTCAGTCAAACTGAAGAAACAAATCGAGTACGAAGTCGGACCTCTTTTCGATGACATTATTTTGCCTCCTGATTCATTGCCTTCTTTAGTGCAGTGGACAACGATCTTGACAGACAGAATGGTCAGGGATGGAATGTCTGACTCTTCTCCACACGAAGTATTTGATGACGACGTTTCTAAGTTAATCAAAATGGCTAAATCTAATTGAATGTATTTTTGTATATAATAAATTATTTATTTATAACTTATTATAAATGTTATGAGCTCTCACCAACAATGATTAATGTTTATCCATACAACTACTTGTAAATCCCACGCAAATTTAAATTGAAAGGATCGGCTTAGATCTATCTGTGTCAACTTGAAGATAATCAAGCAGACATACAGATTGTTGCAAATTGAAAAAGTATTCAATTTTCATCCCTTCATTCATATTTGAGATTTGCATAATTTTACACCTTAGTCTCAAGATATGCTTCTAATGACCTATTCTATCCATAACCAAAATATGAGGGTAATCTTAGGTAAACTTGCAGACTGATCACTTTTTTCCATCATCACTGTTTTAGATTCGGTCTCTTTTTGATGTAAAAACTTCAGACATGAAAACCTCAATTTTCGGAAGGCTAGATGCGACTAATTATATTAAATGGTAAAATTTTAGATTTTGTTATTCAATGAATTTTTACGGTTATTTGACAGTCTGAATGAATTCGGAAGAAAGTCATCCTCAGCGGATGACAATGTTTGGAATAGCTACTACAATGTTCAATTCACAGGTGAAGAAACTCGAAACCGTCAAAATTACAATCTTCCAGCAGGAAAAAAACAATATTTCTTAGACGAGTGCAACTTCTTTGATGATCATGACCGTGTTATCAATTTTAATGATATTTCCGACACTTTATTTCTACATAACCGCTGTTCATTTAGTAATTGCACTTCAATATTACAAGGAAGTTGCGTTTACTACAAAATTGGCAAGAATAGTTCAATTATTCAACGCAAATTCTGCTGTATAAAGTGCAAAGGCCAAGGTTTGGGCCAAATTTCATATACAGAAGTTGACACAGATAACTTAAACTTTATTATTGAAAGTTCCATTTTCGATGCAGGAAATGAAAGTGAATATTCTATTTTTCAAACATTGTATGATAACATCGTAGTTTCATCAACAAATTTCTCATCAAATAAAGCTCAATACGAACCTGCTGGACATTATGAAGCTAAACCAGATAAATACACAACAAAATTTAACTATTCAACTGTTGTTAATAATTTAGCAACAAATAATTATGGAGATATGATAAATATTTGGTATAAAGCTTTGATTGATTCATGTAATATTATAAATAATACTAATACACAATCATATTATGGAATTATTTACCATCAAATTAATTATCTTACTGTAAAAAGTTGTTCTTTTATTAACAACACTGTTCCTCAAGGTAAATATTTGATAGATAACAATAATGATCAATTAACAGTTGATAGTTGTTACATTGACAATTCGATTTCAAATACATTTTATAGAAATGTAGTACCTACTAATCGAAGAGAACTATTTACTAACAAATTGATTCATCTTTCAACTGGTAATTGCCAAGCAGAATTTGCAATTATCAAAAAAAGAATTTCCAAAGTTAATGAACTTTCTCTTTTTTTACAAACTTTAGTAAACATTTCTAACTCTTCATAATCTTTTTCTTCATCAATGAGACTTCAATACTTGATAGTTTTATGTGTTTATTATGAGATTTATTTGATTCTCTCAATATGCTTCTTACATCCTATTGAGAATTATAATAATTATCATTATTCTTTGCAATCATTGCTGCTGAAACTACACTTATAGACGGAACAATTTTTCAGAGACAATTTGTCTCGCATCCATATAAGAACAAATGATCTGTGATTATTTAACACATAAATATTGATCTTAATTTGAAGTAAGGAGAAAAATGTTTGGATGATTCCGATATTTTACATGAATAAATTTAAAAAAATAATACATAAAATAAAATGAAATAAGAAAGAGAAATAAAAATAAATGAGAAAATCTAATGTCTGCCACGGCGGCTGTTGTGGCTTTCGTGACCTCGATGACTGCCATGGCCACTGTGACTAGAATGTTTAGATTTGCGCTTATGATCACTGCTGCTTGATGAGGATGAAGATGATGATTCGGATGATTCTTTCTTCTCTTGTTGACTCGCGTATCGTGGTGGATTCCAGTTTTCGTCACCAAATTTCTTACGAAAGCGCTCACGTTGGGCGGCTGAAATATCGGGACGGTGACGGTGGTTCTGGTCACTCGGAGTTCGACCGTCTCTAGTGATGTCGCCGTCTTTAACACGCTGTTCGTAACATCGCTTGCAGTGGGGACGGTTGTGGCAACATTTGGCATCGTTTGGATCAAGAACAACACCACAGATGCGGCAGCAGAAACATCGCTTGTGGTAGTATTTGTTCATCCACCGAATACGTGTGATGTCGGTAAGTTGGATCTCGTTCTTGCAGTATGCACATGTCTTCAAGTACTTGATACCTTGTTCTGGACAATAGTACCTGTTGTGATGAACAACAAAGTTGTTGCCATTGAGACGACGGCTGCAGTCTTCGCATGTGAAACATTCAACATGGAAATAGTGGCTACGGTTGAAGACGTATCGACCTAAAATAGGTTGTTCGCATCGTTTGCATGAATGACGTGTGGCTTTCTTCTTGCAACGTTTGCAGCAGATCTGGTCTTTGATAGTTTGGTATTCATCAACATTAAGTTTCTTACCGCATTCGTAACAACGAAGACAATCTTTGTGGATTGTGATGTTTAAGTCTTTAAGACTGACAATGTCTTCTTCGTTGTCAAGGAATTCGCTGCAAACTGGACATCGGTTCAACTTGCCGTTGATTTTAGCACAGCCGAAACAAATTGGCTGCTCTTTGTACATGACACATTCTGGAGGACGTAAACTTTTCTGACATCGAGTGCATTTAAGACATTCAGGACAATAACAGTTACCAAACATGAAGAAATACTTGTCTTTGCACATCTTGCTGCATACTTTGCATGTTTTGAGAAGTGATGACTCTGGAGTGTCGTTGTATTCTTGTTGTGGATTGTATCGTGTTGAACTTTCAGCTGAAATGCTCATAGGACTTGGTGCGGGTGAAAGTGGACCTGTTTGGAAACCAATGATAGATGACTGTGTAACAGGTGGAACTGCACTTCGGAAATGGGATGAAAGAGGAATTCCAGAACCAAGAGTACTCATAGACATCAGTGTGTGTGGAGTGAACTGGTTTGAGTTCATTGTACTGAGTTGGTTAGAATTAAATTGACCTGAGTTGAAGTTTGGATCTGGAGGAAGTCCTCCTGTGAAGCCCATTGAAGCAGAAGGTGCAATTCCTCGACCTGAGTTGAACTGGTTGTTTGATTGGATTCCTGGTGGAGGAGGAAGTCCTCCTGTCATTGGTGGCGGTGGAAGACCGCCTGTCATAACCATTGATTGTGAAGTGTTGATTCCTCGACCGGAATTAAACCGGCTCATTGGAGGTGGAGGTAATCCACCTGTCATTCCGCCAGGTGGTGGAGGCAATCCACCAGCTCCTGGAGCTGGAGGAAAACCTCCGCCCATTCCAGAATTTAATGTAGTAGGCATTCCTCTTCCTGAGTTGAATCCTGTGCTCATAGGCGGAGGTGGAAGTCCTCCACTAGTACCAAAGTTGCTTCCCATGCCTCCTGGAGGTGGTGGTAATCCGCCCATTTTTGAATTATTCATTCCGCCAGGCGGAGGTGGTAACCCTCCCATCCCTCCTGGTGGAGGAGGTAAACCACTACCCATTCCGCCTCCTGTTGGCAAACTTGGCGGAATTCCGCGACCTGAACCAAATCCGGTGCTCATTGGTGGTGGAGGTAATCCTGACATCGAGTTCCCTCCCATTCCCATTGATGATGGTGGTGGAGGTAATCCGCCTTTTACACCTGGTGGAGGAGGTAATCCTCCCATTCCTCCTGGTGGAGGTGGCAGACCGCTCATACCTCCTTGCGTTGGGAATTTCGATCCCATTCCTCCTGGTGGTGGCGGTAAAGACATTTTAGTTAGAAAAAATTAAATATGAAAAAATAACTTTTTATAATTCTTCAGAAAAGTTTTCGTTTTATGAGTTTCGTATTATACGTTAGAACTAGAATATTGGCTGATCCATGGTTGTGTAAACTTCACAAAAATATTTTTGAGGATGTAAAGGAAAACAGTTACGATCACTACTTTGTCAAATAGAGAACCATATTACGTATGGAAAATTTAAATATCGATCGTAAAATGAGGTTTCTAATTATTCAATTAAAAAATTTTATCAATTCAAAATTGATCAGAAATAAATTATAAAATGACGAAATGTTATAAAACATTAAGAATGTAGCATTTTTAAAAACCTTTGTAATTTATTCAAATTCAAAACCTATTGACTTTTATAGATTTCTCGTTGCAACTGATCTGGTTTATATCGCTTCGTGATATAATGGTTCATAGGTAAGGTGAAAACAGTGTACAAACTATATGGATCATAACTTTGAAAATATCAATTTCATTGATTTCTTATTTTGAAGAATTTCTATGTGCAATATTAATAAGTAGCTATTGGTATTTATATATTAGAATTATTTATGCAATATGACAAAATAAATTAAGATCAATTGAAATCTGATGTTATTTAAGCAAAACATCCAATTCTATATGAAATATTGTAGCCATCATAGCGATTGAACACAACCATATTCACTAATTTGCTTTTCTTCTTGGGAATAAAATATTAGATGCTGTTTTCTTAATATGTTCATCAGTTTCTTTATGGACACCTAACTGTGGAAGTTAAAAGTAATAAATTTCTATTCATAGCTAAATAAAAAATAAAATTATAACTAAATCTAAAATTTCATACTTTCGAATTCATATTTTTCTCGTATCTGTGTGGTTTGTATGTTGTTGTTAATTCTTGTTCAATTTGTTTTTGGAACGATTGAAAATTAACTTTTCTTTCTTTTGTGTTAGAATGTGTAGTTGAACTGTTGCTAGTAGATGGCTGAACTTGGTCTTTTGGACGCGACCATTGAATTTTTAACATTCCACCATCAAATCGCTTTCCGTTCGTGCAGTCAATTGCATATTGGGCTTCTTTTTGGGTTTTGTACGATAGGAATGCGAACCCTCTTGATTCATTATTTTCATTTAAAATTAATTTACATTCAACGAGAGTTCCAAATTTCGAAAAAGCCTTGTAGATGTCATTAACGTTAGTTTTGTATGATAATCCGAATACTGAAATTTTTGTGCTGCCTTGTCCAGGTTGTTGAGGATCCATCAAATTCTGTTCTTGAAAAAAACTGATCATTAATCATACGCTGATTAGAATCTTGTAAATAATGATTACACTTATCTTTTCATTTATTATCAAATTTAGAGATTTTATAAAAATATTTCTTTTTGATTAGTTTATTATAATGAAATTCAAGCTGAACAAAAGACTTTTACGCTAAAACTTAGTTTTTATTTCAATATAATTCGAAATCAGAGTAACCATCAGAAGAAATATCATCTTCTTGGTTCTTATGAAAGATTCCGGTTCCTGCTTCCATCATCACGTACATATCGTCTTCATCAGAAAAATCGTCTTCCAAAGTATTATAATTTTCAAATTGGTATAGTCTATTCTTTGATTGTTCATCAATTGGAGCTCCGCTATTCAAAAGAAGTCTCGCCATTCTATAAAGTTTAGCAGAAATACAATTTCTAATGATTTCATATTCTTCGTAAACTTTTGCACCTTGTTCAATAAGAAGTTTGACTTTCTTGAAATCATTTTTGAGAGCTGCGATGAAAATGGCCGTTCTTTTTAGTTTGTCTCTTCGATTTACATCAATTCCTTTCTCAATAAGAAGTTTAATTGTTTCAAGATCATTTACACAGAACAAAGGAGTCTGCTGAAGTAGATTGATCATGTTTACTTGTGATTTTTGGAATAAATCTTCAACAAAAATTGGTGATTTCAAGTAAAATAAGGAATCTTGAATAGATACACCAGTGTTCTTAAGATAAACATAAAATAATACTTTTCCATAGTTCAGTGATTCATGAAATGCTTCTATTATCTCTTGATTTAAAATTAATTTGTCACCTTCACGTAATTTATTAATAACTATATCAAACGCATCATAGTTATGACTCTCAACAGTATAAAGTAATACTTTTCTTGGAAATGACTTCTTTTCCATGCACATTTTCAAAATTTCAATATTATGTCCAAAAATTGAATGTACAAGTGTCTTTTGAGTGATAGAAAACTCCTTTTCAAGAAGATGTGTAAAACATCTGATAGCTCCGTAAAATGCAGCAAAATCTAATAAATTTATTTTTTCAAAAGCATTTTCTTTTGTATCACGTGGATTAGTGAGTTTGATATCTAAATCAAAGTCATTGTCTAACGTTGAAATGAGAGTTTCTAAATCATCTTTCTTGAAAATTTCGATAAGTTTTTGTTCAACTTCATATTGAGCCTTTTCTTCTTCGTCTAATTGATCTTCATTTTGTATTAATGCATTTTGATGCTGTGGTGGAATTCTACTAATTAAGAATGATGGATCCGGAATTTCTTTCGAAAAAATTTTGAGAAATTCCTGTAAATATTCGATATTTGTTTCTTCTTTCACTGTTTTCAAGACATCTTGAAGTGAAATTAGATCAGATTCAAGGCATTTATGAAGTAATTCTGGTTGATCTTTTGAAAATTCGATTAATTCTGTTCGTAATGTATTATTATTCTTAGCGATTAGAATCGTAATATCCACATTCAATTTCATCAATGCTTGACGTACTTGAATATTATCCAAAATTCCAGATTCAGCAATAAACTGTGCAATATCTGTATTATTGACTCCCTCTGAGTCAACAATGAATCTTTCTAATGTTGTAAATTGTTCATACTTTAAAGGAACATCTACATCTCTAATTGGTGGAAATTCCATTACTCAAAAATGAAAGAACATATCTTTCCAAATGCTGTATTAATAAGTTGAATTCATATAATGGATTCCTTGAACCATCAAAACCAATATAGAGTTATGAAAAAAAAATATAATTTCATAATCAATCTAATAATCTATTTAATGTAACAAATATAAACATATATAAAATCTATTCAACAATTTCTTCCTCTTCGAAATGGTCTAAATCTTTTTGATATACTGTGTTCAAGAACGTAAGCGATTCTACAAGCTCATTATTCACTTTCCATGGGAGCGATTGCTTCTCATCAATATTTGGAGCTTCAATTGTTTGGAGATCAATTTCTTGATTATTAATATATTGCTGGATAATTCTAAAATTTCTTATAGTCTGGCCGCTATAATTGGCCATTTTAAGTTGAAATTCACATTTCGCTCCTGTTTTAACAAAATCAGCAATAAAGAGATCAAAAAGTGCTTCCAAACCTTGTTTTCCTAGATGTCTAACTACATCTTTTCCAAACAAATACTGATATGGAATTTGAAGTTTAACTTTGGGCTCATGATTTTTGATTCTACTGATTAGAATAATGAGTGTAATAAGAGAATCCAAATTTTCTTCATAATAAGCAAGATAACCAATAAGAGAATTATAGCAATAAAGGAAATTCGAAGCCAAAGCTAACTTTTTTGAAAATTCTGGATTTTTATCGATTTTAATGGTCATGAAAGTCATGTATGATTCAATTGCTCTCAAATTCTGCTTATCTGTTCTTTTTACATAGAAAGCTAATAACTGATTAACCATTCCTTCGGCCAAATCATTTGTTGGAGGTAAATTCCTGACCAAAAGAACTGCAGCTGATACTGTTGCTGGAATTGTACTATATGCAACGTATTTCAATAAAGTTAAGTTAGTGCAAAGTGGAAGATTTAAAACGGAAGCAGAAATTATGACAGCAGGGAGCAGAGAAACGCGAAATTTGCATGCTAAAATTCTTGTAAATGCTGAAGAGTTTCTTGTAATAAAAGAAATTATTGAATTGTAAGCATTTTTCACGTTAAAAAATACATTTGAGAATTCTTCTGGTATTTTAGCGATCATTATAAACTTCATGCAAAGCAAAACACTGTCAACAAATGAATCATTGATAAGTGAGATCTTAAATGGCTGATCAAAAATAATTGTTTTCGTACAATCAAAAAACAAGCTGATAATTGTACAAAACTGATCTATTGTTCTGACAGAAATGTAGTTTTCTATGTTAAAAAGGATGTTTCTTGTTCTGAATATATGATGAAGCAATAAAATTAAATTTGATTCAATAAATTGGCTTTTTTCAATAGGATCAAATGAATCAAATCTGATTACCATATTCATTATGTATTGCAAGTACATATTAACATTCTTTTCTGGTAATAAATCTTTTTGTTCAACAACTTCTGTTGGAATCTGAAAATTGAGAGGCATGATACTTGTCATAAACATTTCGGGGAAGTATCTTTTGGACTTCATAAAATATTGAACGAAAATTTGTCCGCATTGAGAATTTAAGATATAAAACTCTTTTGATGTATTATATGTGAACAGTTGTTCCATGATGGTCCTTCCAATTGGGCAATTCATTGTTTGAAGAAATCTTGGAATTAAATGTTTTGAAGAGTCTAAACATAAAAGATAAAGTGCATAGCAAATAGATGCACGCGCTGTTTCGCATGTTTGCAAAAACAGTGCGAATTTAGTAAGTATATCTGTTGATTTGTTTGTAATTGATGAAAATACAAAAAAATACGCAAGATTCATTGTATGTATTGTGAACTTGATTTGGTCTTTGGAAAACATTTCAATATTTTCTAATACAGATAAGGGATAAGTAAAATTCGAAAAAATTGTTTTTTGTGAATATTTTTCGCAAGATGTATTAAATCTAGGTGCAACAAAGGAAACTGCCAACCTCAGAATAAGATTTTTTGAGTAATCGAATGATTTACATTTGATTATTGTATTAGAAACTAAATTAACGATCAATAAATGTAGGTTTTCTATCCAATTTGTATGAAAATGAATATTTTGTGAGTTCCATGCAACTAAATATAAAAATAATTTGCGAACTTCAATTCTATCATGTTTAATGATTAAATTTGCAAAAACATTTTGTAATTCAATATAACTCGAGCTATATATTCCATCATTTATCATCATGATCAGGTCTTTCACGTAAAAAGAAAAAAACGTATTATGGTCTTGGCTGAGTAATCGAATAAAGCAATCAACTATTGCATTTTGGATTTCTTCATCTGTATTTGGCGTTGATTTTGTGATATATTTTATAATATTTATAATTCGTTTAATTTTTTGTTGAATTTCTGCTCGTTTCGTTATTTCTGTAACAGGTGTCAAGCATAATCTTTGAAAAAAGTCCGGATCTTGACTATTTGATCCAAATAGTATGCCTGTCTCCAAGTTTGTAAAAAATTCGACAGAAAACATTAACCAAAATTAAGGCAATCACTATATTTTTCATAAAGATTTTGAGTCAATATAGCAAAAGTTAGTTTGAAACATATTCAAATTTGCTTGATTTCAAAAATCAAGTTATCTTATTTCAAATCAATTGAATATATCCTTCCAAAGTAATACCATTTTATTGATGGAGAAAAATATCATCAATTAGCCAAGAATACGTCAAAAGAAAAATCAATATTATATAATTCATTATAATTTGCATACTTTGCTTAAAATCTTCTGTAATCTATTTGTTTTCTCTTTGTTTTTGTAATGCTATGTTGTCATGCATATAATACCATTATTGATGGCGAATCTAACATCAAATATGTGCTTATCTTTAAAATCTTTTCTAATCAGGTTAGATGCTTGAAATATATTTATTAATTTACAATTTCGCGCAGTTTTTTAGGGGATTCTTTGAAAATATGAACAAAAGGATATATGCTTTGGTTCTTTAAAAAAAGGTAGTGGGGCTTCCAGGCGCGTTGCGCCCTCTAGCCCCGAAGATGTTTAGTATAAATGAAGTTTTTATTCGGAGGGCTTCCAGGCGCGTTGCGCCCTCTAGCCCCGAAGATGTTTAGTATAAATGAAGTTTTTATTCGGAGGGCTTCCAGGCGCGTTGCGCCCTCTAGCCCCGAAGATGTTTAGTATAAATGAAGTTTTTATTCGGAGGGCTTCCAGGCGCGTTGCGCCCTCTAGCCCCGAAGAAATTTTGCCCAAGACCCAAGAGGAGGACCGAACCCCAGCTGACCAGCCGGTGACAAAACCAAAACCGTTGTTATTTACATCATATTAATAGTGTCATATAAACATCTGTCAAAAACCGCTTTTTAACTTCACTTAAAATGCCACGTAAGCTACGTAAGAATATACGTAAGAGGAAGGAAGCATTGAAACATCCAATAGTAAAACTGACACCACAACAACAGTTGCAACAACAAATGATGAATGACCCCACTATGTTGCAACAACAAATGATGAATGACCCCACTATGTTGCAACAAATGTCAAGCAACCCTATGCTTTTAAACCGAGTTATTGGTGCACAGAGTGGAGGTTTAAGAGCGGCACTTTTAGCGAAAATGGCAGGCTATGGTGGAGCTGCAGACGGAACAGCTTATAACCCTCAAAGTCAAATGAATTTGAGTTCACTCAAAAATCAAATAACAGATGTCAAAAAGTCAAACCTAGACATACAGAAACAAATAAGTGAAAACGAAAAGAAACTAGAATATGACAGACAGACAAAGAAACTCAATGAGTTAAACGTAGAGAAAAAGAAGAAAGAAGAACAACTGAAAGAACTAAGTACAGAGGAATATGCGAAAAAAGTGTCAGAAAAAGCAGCAGAAGTAGCAAAAATGGAACAAGATGTTATAAATTTGAAAAACCATACTACTCAATATAAAGTACTGAAAGATGAAGAGATAAAACAAAAAGCCCTGAAGACATATATGGATAGCGATGAGTATAAAAAAGAAGTTGAAGCAAATGTAAAGGCAGAAAAACTTTTACAGTTGCAAAACCAAACTGTACAGTATGAAAACTTAGCACAAGAAAGTAAAAATAACGATGCAGCCATGCAAAAGGCAATGAAAAGCGCAGAATATATAAAAGCTAATAATGACTGGTTAGATGCCCAAGCCAACGCCAAAGCAGCCCAACTTATAGGGTCAATAAGGACAAAAATACAAGCGGATGAAGACAGTTCAAATGAAGCTTTAATGAATGCTGACTTTAAGAATGCCTTCGAAGCTCTTCATAGTAAGGTGAAACAAGTGAACGATTTCTCATCTGGAAAGAAACTGAAGTCTGAAGGTTTCGACAAAGAGTTAAGAGAAGTAGCACAAAATATGACGAAAATAACAGATGCAGCAACGAGACAGGCAGTTCAAAGTGCCTATGACTCCGTTAGAGCAGCTGTTGTGGAAAGTCAAGAAAAAGAGTTACAACAGACCAAAACAGACCTAGTAAATGCTTTCTTAAAAACGAAAAGTCAGGTAGGACATTATGCTGCAGATGGAACATATGTGCCAGCTGGTGGAACTTATATACCACCAAACCCTCCAAGAGAAGCACCTGCACCAGGACTACCTAAAACATTTACATCGTCACATGGACACAGACATAGGCATGCACCAAAACCAACACAACAACCAACAGTTCAAAATCCAGCACCACAACAACAACCAAAACCAACAGTTCAAAACCCTGCACAACAACCAACAGTTCAAAATCCAGCACAACAACAACAACCAAAACCAACAGTTCAAAACCCTGCACAACAACCAACAGTTCAAAACCCTGCACAACAACAACCACAAACAGAGCAAGGACATAAAAGAAGTAGAGAAAAAGGAAACCAAGAATTCTTAAAAATGCTTAAGGAAGATTATGGTTACCCAGATACTCTTGACTTTAGTGACAGATATAAAGAAGCTATTAGAAAGTTCAAGGAAGGAAATACTGACCCGAACCTATTTAGCTTTATGGTTCAGCATAAAATCGGATATAATCTCAAACCTGGAAAATACAAGCTCGCAAAGGGATATGATTTAATAGCATATCATCCAAATGACATGAATGAATTTACTCCGAGATATTTGATGTCAGAGCTAAATGATAATTCAACTCTCTTCATGAAACGCGTAAAAAATAGAGACGGAACGAAAGAAGAAAGGTTTATGAGTCCGGATGACTTAGATAGGGAACTTGTTAAAAACGGTCTCGGAATATATGAAATGCCAGCAGATGAGGTACAAGAAACTCCACAGGAAGAAGTTCAGATACAACCAGACATGGAAGAAATAGTTCAGCAACAACAGCTAGAAGAGCCAGAAGGAAACGAACAAATCCCTCCTTTGGAAACTAACTTCACAGAACTAGATGAAGATTTGGAACAGCCGAAAAATCTTGACCCTCAACAAGTGTATGAGGAGAATATGGAATCTTTCCAAGAGTCTAAGAAAAATTCGGCTGACATAGTAGAAGAATATCGAAAAATGTTTACCGACATACAAAAGACTCCAACATCAGATGAAAATATTCAGCATAGAATGGAAGAACTGAAAGATAATGTACACAAATACAATAATCCTTTTTACTTACGACCATATAACGTTCAATCTTTGGCTGAACTCGGTGAAAATAAAAGGTTAAATTTCAACAAAACATATAGAAATGAAACATTGTTTAAAGTTCATTCAGAACCTAACCAATATGGAAACAAACCTACTTTTGTTTCTGCAGACTATGGAACTACAATGAGATGGGGTCATAAAGCTAATCCGGATAGGTGGTTCATAAACTTACAACCTCAATTCCAAGAAGTTGTAGACGCAATGGAAGTGAATGGTGAACCAGATATAGCTGGTATTTTCAGCGCGGCTTTAATGCCATTGAAAGATATGAAAGATGCAGATATTTTGGACCAGTATGAAATGAACATGGCTGAGGGAAATATAACACCTGACGTTCTAGAACATTTATCTCAAAGAACTACACAGAACCATAGAGATGGTATATTTGGTGAAGAGTTTAGAAAGAAAGTTAGGGAGAGAGAAGGAAGAGAACCTATTGTACATGACCTTGCAAACGAAAGTTTGCAAAATGTCATAAAAACTTACTTTGCGGACAATGAACTGAGAAGGGATGAATATTTAAGAAAACTCAAATGGACAGTACCAAATGAAATGTTAGTATTGAAAAACATGTTCCATGACAAAATAAAACCAACTACAGAAATAAATGACGCAAGACTGAAACGTTGGGTAAAGCTTTCCCATTCACAAAAGATATTATTGGTAACATGGAAAGAAAACCAGAATGGCTACAAAAACATATATTTGGAAACGAGCTTATTCCATATGGACAAGCTCTGTTTGAAGAGCTTGAACCGGAAACTCAGGAAAGAGTCATGCAAACAATAAGCGAAGACTCAAATACAAACTATGACAAAATCTTTCTAGGATATAGGTTACCTGAGATGGGCGACCAGAGCCCAAAGGCAAAAAGGATATGGGAAATTTACAACATACTAGGTGAACATGAGGCAAAGATGCAACAACTTGAAGCAGAGGGCAAGTTACCAAAAGCGACACCAAAGAAGAAGAGAAGAGTAGAACAAAGTGAAAGTAGTGAAGAAGTAATTTCATCTAGTGAAAGTAGTGGCAATGAAGGAAAAAGAAGAGTTAAAAACTCAGTCAGGAAGAAAGTAAAGCTTGGTCCGAGTGGGTTCTATTATGACACATAAATCCAACTATTCTATATTTTTACCCATATGAAATGTACGCCGCTCAGAATATTACGCCAACAGTTTTGGATGCCATGAACGGAAATGTTTCCGAATGGTATAACGAATGCGAGAATGCCATTAGAAGGTCAGAAATAGTTCCTGGAACTTACGAATATACAACTGCTGTTTCTTATGGAAATGTAGGTGAGTTTGATGAAGGTTCTTCAACAACAGTAGATATTGCATGCGACAGGTTTCACATTATTTCTATTGACAACTCATTCTTATACGTGGAACAAGACATTGAAATAAAACCTTCTGCCAAGTTGTCTGACAAGAAAGGTTGCAATGGAATTTTCTATGTCGGATACCAATATGCTCCAGAAGTTTTCATGGGATATAAGATATATTCTAACTCTGACTTAGTTCAAACAGTAACATGGGCAAACTATGAATGGTTTGCTTTGAGAAACTCAGTACAACCACAAGCTAGAGAACAAACAGACCAGTATGCAACTATTGAGAAAATAAGAAGACTTGACCCTAACGTTCCAGGAGTTTATGTTAACCTTTCTGGACAAACTGCAGCAGCAGTAACCAAAGTAAAACTGAAACTTAGAGTTCCTTTGTCATCTTTCCTCATCTTCAGGTTTTTAAGATACTTGCCAAACTGGGCAGAAAAAATTTCTATCGAACTTACTCCAAGCAAAAATAACTTAGTCATTGCACCAACACAAGACCCATTCACTATTACAGACGTAAAGGGAACAAATCAAACATCATTCGCCGAATTTTGCAAAGACAAAGTTGACTTAGACTTTGGTTTCTCAAACTTCAACAATGAAGTAAACTATTATTTCAATGCTGCTGGAACTGCTTGGGACCCAGTTAAGTTTACATGCGAAAAGTTTGAATGCAAGAGAATAGAAAGCAGACTTGCAGTCTATATGTTGGACCCAGATATTTCAAATGCTTTAGCTGCCAAATATATTGCAGTTCCACTTATGTTCCCTATACACCAAATATCTGTCAAAGACTTTGCAGGTGAAGTTGGAAACCAAAGTGCTGACCCAGGTGCAAGAACGGATATTGCTTTAACAACTGCAATGAAACATGCAGATACTATGTTTGTACTGTTCAGACGAACTATAAATGACTATTCTTGTTTCTACAACCCTGGTATTAAATATCATATAAACATAGATGGCAAATATTATCCAAGAGAAGAATATTCTACAGTTGAAGATATGAGGTCATACAACTTGACATTAGATGCTATGAACTTTAACAACAACTTCACAACAACTATTAACCCTGAAATGCAAAGTTCTATTATGCCATATGTAAAACTATGGACTCATACAGGAGGTCAAAAAACTCAATATACAAATGGAGACCGTTCAAACTTTTGGCTTGGCATTCCATTTGCTGACTCAGAAGACTTTATGGGTGGTATTTCAACTGTTGGTACAGTTCAAATACAATATACTGGTGACAGAGACGGTCCAGATGAATTGAGAGCAAAGAAGTTTACAAAACCAATAGCACTTTTCACGGAAGATGCTCTTTTGAAGATTCGTTCGATGAAACCTGCTGGGGCTCCTCAGATTGGCATAACGACAGCTTCCATCGAGCAGATTTTGGCAGCAGGTCAGTAAGTTGTTCTTGAACTGACTTCTCTCCGTCAAATATTGACAGTACGCCAGTTTTGACATAATACTGTATTATAAACTTTCCTTTAGTAATATCGGTCAGTTTTGTTGTTATATTTTTGTCTGCTTCAAGAACTTTCACCATTTCAGTTATACCAACTTTCTTTGCTTTATGAAAATATTTTGGTTCAGCAAAGACTGCTATTCTATAACATTTTCCATTGTTTGTGTAAAGAACTATTCTGTCAATGAACTTGTATTGTTTCTGTGTGTAAACTTTGTTTTGCTTCAATTCAATAAGATATCCGAATACGTCCATCTTTTTATTCTAAGTAAAATGTCATTTCCGAAAAATAGAAGCGTAAGTGTTTCAAAAGGTTTAATGGCGGTGGCAGATGTGAAGTTAAATTCACCAACTCAAACAAACAGTCAAAGTGTTATTGTCAATGTCAAAGACAGAGATGTTGAAATGGGGAAACCATACGAAGACGAAGATGGTATAACAATAGTTCCTGTAAAAGAACAACCAACATATCCTGAAGTTAACAGAGACTTAAGTTCTGTTGCAGATATTCGAAACGACTACCAACAACTGAAAGACAAACTTCAAACTCAGGAGAAGATTTGTCAAGCTTTAGGTATAATGTTAAACTTGGTCGAACACAACCCTGTAAAGGTGAACTCATATGTCATTGCACTCATGCAAGTCATGAAGTTTTGAAAGAACTATTGAAACTTTTGACAGAGGCAGACGATATAAACATCAAAGAAATAGAACCCGACATTAGTTGCTGTGGTGTTTCATATAATGTCATTGACAAGATATACGTTATGAAAGGAGGTGAAACGTTGAACTTAAAATATAGTTTCCCAGACGTTATAAAAATATTTGACGACCACAACATTTCATTAAAATTTATTTTGCTAAGTAAATGGCAGAAGACATAATGGTTTATACTATTACGACTAAAAACCCCGAGTCATATAATTCTATAACAACAAACTTACAAAGTCCTCAAGGACGATATTGTAAACTAACCTTAAACACAATGACGACTAAAGCCTGTTTTGCTCTTTTGACACCAGAAGACTTTATTGTTGTGAATGGTAAAAATACTCCTTTGAAGATACTTATTCAGATATACCACCAACAGGTTTTGTTGACTTATTTAATACTTTCAGTACGGGTGTAACATGTGCTGCAACTAGAGCAGGTTTCATTATGTTTGGATGTCCGACTGAGTTTACTATAAACGATATGAGCTATAATACAAAACTTATATCTGGTTTTTACTACACAACAGTTTCCTATAACAGGAAAAGGTGTATACAAGGATGTCTATTCCATTGACATTAAGCACACCAATCTTATATATTGTTTCAAACTTAGGTTCAAAGTGTTATTCGAATGTCGACAGAAACTATTATGACCAAAAGATACTTATGTGTATAAACAATACTTTCTCTGCCTGGTTTGCCTATTGTTCATT